CACTCCCTCTTAGCAAGGAGAAGCAGAGGGGGTGCAGGAGGCCTCTCCAGGAAGGGCTCCCCGTACTCAGAGTGCAGTGGGTGGGAGTGGGACATCCAGACAGGCCACCCTCCAAGAGTTCATTCCTCTGAGGATGCTGACAGTGCCATCCAGAAGAGCTATATGGACGGCCCAGGAAGCAGTCACTCACCTCATTGGCGAGATGATTGCTGTGGATGGCCAACCCTTCTCCCTTACAGAGGACAAAGCCTTTCGCCAGCTGCTGCAACACCTGGCTCCCTGGCACTCCATCCTCTCTTGGAGGACCATGAGCTGAAGAGTCTTGTATGCCACGCACCACTCTGGAGTGGTGATGGTCACGGCTCAGCTCTCCAGAGCACAAAGGTGAACTGTCCGCTTCACGGCAGCCATCTGGAGCAGCCAGCAGCAAGGCTGCCTCTCCCTCACCACCCACTCACTGGTAGCAACCAGAGAGCCTCTCTCTGTGGACTGCTGGGGTGCGGCCCAGGCCCCCAGGAGGGGACAGCCCTGCCACCTGGCTATAAAGTGGTTCTGCTCCCGGCATAGGGGATGGATGCAGACCACATGGTGGCAAACATCACTGCCATCATTCAGAGTAGCCTGAGTGGGTGGCAGCAACCTTGTACGTGGATACATGGTCACACACTAGCACCAACATGCTGGCAGCGGTGAGGGCTCTGCGCCTCAAGGGCATCATCATCTGCCTGGTCCTGGTAGGGGAAGATGTTCCCGGGGCTGGAGAGCACTGTGAGGCCCACTTGGGATGCTGCCACTCTCGAGCTGCGATAGACAGGTGGACGGGGATGAGAGCCTGAGGGAGTGGGTGGGTGGCAGCAACCTCATCCGTGGATACATGGTCACACACACTAGCGCCAACATGCTGGCAGCGGTGAGGGCTCTATGCCTCATCTGCCTGGTCCTAGTAGGGGAAGATGTTCCCGGGGCTGGAGAGCACTGTGAGGCCCACTTGGGATGCTGCCACTCTCGAGCTGCGATAGACAGGTGGACGGGGATGAGCTTGGACACCGGCTCCTCCAGAACCTACCCACCCACTGGAACGCCACCTACGCCATGATTGTGCGTTTGGTGGAGCAGAAGATGTCATCTTCTCCATGACCATCCTGCCTGGGGGAGAGGAGCTCAGCATCAGCTCCAACAACTGACGGACTCCCTCCCAAATGGTGCGTGTCCTCCAGCCCTTCCGGGACATCACCGACATGCTCTGCACCCACGTGGCCAGCCTGGGGAAAGTCATCCCCAACTCAAGGGCTGAACCAGGCACTGGCCTCTGCACTGCAGCCGGGCCCTGAGGGGACAGCTGTTCTCCCAAGGGACAGGGCCTTGGCAGAGAGGTTGCATGTGGGTATCACTCCCAGGTTGCATCCTCTCTGTGATGAAAGGGGAGCACAAGCTGGCCTACATGAGGGAGTACTTGGCCAAGCCCCCTGTGCCTGCCTCGGCTGATCTTCTGGAGTACCGGTCACACAAGGCTGTCATCTGGCCTGACCTCTCTTGCGTGGCCATGAGTCTCCTCTCATGCCCTCCCAGAGCAAGAGGGTATTCTCCCACCTAGGAGATATCCTCAGCCCCCACCACTCCTGCTTGGATCCAGCCAGGGTGGAAGAGTTGGCTTTCCTCAAGGTCAACCTCTCTCTGCTGGGCTACCCCTCTCTGGACCTCATAGGCTAAGAAGATCCAGGCCTCCTGTTTTCCCCCTGCATGTCTCCCCATTCCTCCTCCTTCTCTTTGGGTGACCTGGCATGTGGCCTATTGGTTGGCCCATTGATGCCTGTGATGGCCACCTCCGCCGGCTGGAGGTGGACTGGTCCCACACTGAACCCTTTCTCACTGAAATTCCCTCACTGAGAAAAACCCTGGATATACCCCTTTATATTCACCTTCCAAAGAAAATCTCCCTCACCCAACACCTGCTTCATGAAACAACAACTGTCTCATCATAACACAACACCTACCTCATGGATCAACATCCACCTCAGCAAACATCTACTTCAACTAACATCTGCCTATTTGACTACCCCTTCCCATTGGATTTGTACAAATCACAACAGGTGATCTCTTATCTGTATGATGTGTTCTGCTAATGGTTCACCTAGGGATGGGCCGAGAATCTATATCTTTGGGCCTGAGGGGGCCTGGAAGCATTGTGGGCATGCCTCACTGGGTTGTAGTGCTTGCCCGTTCCAGGACATTTCTGGTACTCCTAAGGACTCTCATTCTAATGGGGTGGGCTGCCATTCCAGTCCCAGGACATTTCTGCTACTCCCAGGGGCTGCCAGCCATTCCACCCTGGAACCTGTCATTTTGGTCCCAGAACTCTTCTGCTACTCCCAGGGACTGCTGTTTCACTCTAGAACCTGCAAGAATGCTTGTAAAAATGCCTCCCACCTCAGTTTTTACTGATTCTCTGGTTTGACCTTAGTCCATTGAACACAATGGAGGATGGGGCCCCTTTTTTGGAGTTTGTGTAAATCCAATCTTCACTAAACTTGGAGGGCAGGTAGAAGAGAGTCACCTGGAAATCTCTGGTGAGTTTGGTGTCCCTAGCATGCCGGGGAGGATGGCTCTACCACATCACAAATTTCATGAACTAAACCAAGCACACCATGAACCAAACAGTGTTTTCCCGGTTTGTGCCCATCCCTAGACCTGATTATCTGGGGTGATTATTTAACATTGAAATGCCTCCCTGTGCCTTCTCCGGCCTTGGCAAGCCAAGGGAAGGGATGGGGTGTGGCCTAATATGCTAATAAGCTGTACTATTAGGGTGTGGCCTAATGTGCTAATGAGTTTCTGCTGTTGAGTGTGGCCTATTATGCTAATGAGTTCCTGCTGGGCTTTTTCTACAAAAAAAAGCCCTGAACACAATCATGACTGTTTTCACATGACCTCATCAAGACAAATGCAGTGATGCAATGCAAACATTTGGCCACAATTCCCTTGTTTTCTCCATTTTCTAAGGGCTTATTCACACTTTTTAACGGGAAAGTACACATCTTCATTTAAAGGAAAAGGCTACAGGGTGCTATAGCCAAGTATACACTCATAGTGTAAAACAAACTTGTGCATTTCTTTCATTATTAGATTATGAAAATGGGGTGTTTTATCTCTTCATTATTATAGTCCATCTCTTTCTATCTCTCTCTCTGCAAGTTTCACTTCTACAAGTCAGCCAGCATTATAACAAAGGCATAGAAAACACTGGCCCTGTTCCCATGCTACAGTGAACACACATACATCTATTTGTGATGAAGAGCCAGTGCACATTCAGTTTACAAATAAAACCAAGAACCAGTACCTGGCTACATGCAGGGTTCAGACACGGCTGGTGTCCAATTTGCCCTATTTGGGCAAACTGATAGAGAGGGCGGTGGCAACACAGCTACAGGGCTTTCTGGATGACGCTTCAGTCCTGGATTCCTTCCAGTCCGGCTTTCACCCGGGCCACGGGACGGAGACTGTTCTGGTTGCCCTGACAGATGATCTCCGAAGGCATCTGGATTGAGGTGGTGTGGCGGCACTGCTGCTGTTAGATCTGTCGGTCACATTCAATACGATCGACCATCAGCTGCTGACCCACCGCCTCGCCGACATGGGGATTCAGGGGCTTGCCCTCCAATGGTTTGCCTCTTTTCTCCAAGGTCAGGGACAGAGGGTGGCGATTGGGGATCAGCGCTCCCAGAGGCATCCTCTTGAATGTGGGGTGCCTCAGGGGGCAGTGCTGTCCCCAATATTATTTACATGTATATGCGCTCTCTCGCCCAGATTGCTCGGAGATATGGGCTGGGATGTCATCAATATGCAGATGATACCCAGCTCTATCTAATGCTGGGTGGCCGGTCGGACTCCGACCCGGATGACCTACATCGGGCGTTGCAAGCTGTGGCTGGTTGGCTCAGGCTGAGTCGACTGAAGCTAAACCAGGCAAAGACAGAAATCCTGGGCCTAGGTCGGGTCGGGGCTCCCTCTGTCTTTGACGGGGTGCCTTTGGTACCAGCGCCGAGGGTTAGGAGTTTGGGGGTGCTCCTGGACTCCTCTTTAACGATGGAGGCGCAGGTGGCAGCCACTGTCAAGTCAGCCTTCTACCATCTGCAGCTGGCACGGCAGTTGGCTCCCTACCTTGACCGCGATGACTTGGCCACTGTGAATCACCCGACAGTCACCTTGAGGCTAGACTACTGCAACACTCTCTACATGGGGCTGCCTTTGGCACAGATCCGGAAGCTGCAGCTGGTGCAGAATGCAGCAACCAGGCTGCTAATTGGTCTCTCTAGGTGGGACCACATCCAGCCTGCCCTGAAGGTGCTGCACTGGCTGCCAATAGCGTACCAGGTCCGCTTCAAAGTGCTGGTTCTTACCTATAAAGCCATACATGGCTAGGGTCCAGCTTACCTAAGGGACCGCCTTTCCCCATATGTTCCCCTAAGGGCACTACGGTCTGGGGCAAAACATCTTTTGGTCGTTCCAGCACCCAGAGAGGTTAAATATGCTGCGACAAGGGTGTAGTCAGCAGTTGTACACACTCTCAAAAAGGCTGCTGTAGAGCTGGAAAAGGTAAAAAAAAAAAAAAAGGCAACCAACATGCTTAAGAGGAGCAATTTCTCTATAAGGAAAGGAGTATGGAGTATTTCAGTTTTAAAGAATAATGCCAGGGAAAGAAGAGAAAGATGTGATAGTGGTTTATAAAATTTTACATGGGAAAAGTGGAGATTAACACTGAAGATAACTGATGGGTAGTGGACGCAGAACAAAGATTAGGTCTATCAACAGCTACTAGCCATGATAGCTAACCTTATGCTGTATGCCTTCTTTGACATGTTGATGGATGCTATGGAACACAGTGTACTGTACTAGATCAGACGAGTTCCTCTGATGTGTATTGAGTCAACCTGGTGAAAAACTAATTTGTGTATCACCCTGAGGAAAATCTGAGCCTATTATTGTTAGCACTGCATATCTTCTATTCTAATACTCACCTGTGAACCCAACTGCAGATTTAAATCCCCCCCTCATACAATTGGAAAAGTGCTACAGCCAGGTACTGCGGCAGAGTAGGATGCCGGCTGCTGCTCTGGGCCCGGTGGCAACTGACATTGGCAGCCGCTGTCAGCCTGGTGGCAGAGGATGCTGGCACTCACTGCATGCCCAGCCGCACGAAAGAATGCCGGCAGCCACTGCGGGCCCAGGATTGACAGGTGAGGAAGCAGGCGGGTGGTGGGGCCTGGAGACTTCCTGGCTCAGCAATGGGGGGTTATAGGATTCCCCCCCCCCTTCGAGTTTCCTGGGTCTTCCACTCATTTACTTAAACCATTTTATACCACCTACAACTGCAAGTCATGAGACAGTTTTTTTTAAAACTATACCAAAATCCAAGCCCAGAGATTTATTAGACTATCCAGTATCATTTTCAAGGAATCTCTTGAGCCATCTGTATCTCCACTGCTTCTCTTTTATATCATTTTTCTCTACCTGAAAACTGCACAATTGCGGTATAATACTATATCCCACCCACCTTTTTGCATTATATAAAGCACATATTCCAGGTGTTACCCAGTATTGAGTTCTCTATTTCTAGTAAAATGTAATTATAAAACTCCATGTAGTGGTGTTCAGGAAAACATGTTTATACTTAAGACAATTTATCACAATAGTTAAATGGCATATGAGGGAGAAAACCAAGCTATTTACATATTTATATAATAAAAGGGAAAATGCAGTAGATAATACACTTCTCACTTTCCAAAGGCCTATAATATGATCACAGACCAAATACAGAATTTAATAAAAAATACCAGCTCCATTTCGGAATTTCCTAGTTATTGATGTGTTAATATTAAAATATACAAGAGCATCCAATGATTACATAAATTTAACTGCAAGGCTTCCATTAGTTTGTAGCAGAGATGAACAATACAAAATCATTGTAAAAATGCCATGCCTACTTTTCTCATTTTGCCATCACCAAGTTGTACTGCTTGTACTTGTACACACACACACACAATCAACATCATTCTGATCTTAAATAACTTTTAAATGTATGAGAACCCCCAACTGCAAATTGTCTGAAAGAATAAACCTTACCACACTATTACCTTTCCACATCTGTCTCCACCCCACAAATTGTCTCCAAAACTTTAGATTAAAAAAGTATCTTTTTGTATATCTGGTCAGAAGCAAGAAGGAATTCGCACCAGCATTCATGCTAATTGTTCCACTGCTTGTTATTTATACTACTCAGAAATATCTGTACAAGTTATTCCCCTTGGAATCCACTTTCAATGGATAACAGTTTTTGGAAAGCTAGATCAGGTTTGCCATGGGCAATGTCCAGAAGGAGCAG